CCGGCTCATGTTCAGCCGGCTGTCAACCAGCACCCCCAGGTCCTTTTCTGCTGGGCAGCTTTCCAGCCACTCTTCCCCAAGCCTGTAGCGCTGCATGGGGTTGTTGTGGCCAAAGTGCAGGACCCGGCACTTGGCCTTGTTGAACTTCATACAATTGGCCTCTTAATTCTGCTTACTGTTATAACTTCACTTGCCTCTCCTCTAGTAGTAGTTATTTAATGTTTTTGTAAGTACCATTGCCAGCCAAATTCTTTAGGTAGTGGATGTCACAATCTAAGACTGTTCGTAGCTCAGCAATTTTGGTTTTATATGTATATTTACTAAATTTATGGTTAGATATGAGCAACCCTTTATTTTTTTGGTAAAAAAGATTCTTGGTATCCTCTCATGGACAAACAGTTAGTTTCCATATTGTTGAATAAAGAACACAAATTATTTATGGAAGCATTGTCCTATGCTGAATAGTAAAAAAAAAAAAAAAAGAACAAACAGAGTTTGGCACTAGTGTTCCATACCTACTTTGAAAAAGTAGGAAATTTCTGTAAATGTTGGTCATGAATCTTGTCTCACCAAGTTACTAATGGTCTTTACTGTATTTAGGTGGAATTTATAGTTTCTCAAACCCTTGCGATGTTGTTGCCGACCATAATGAGTAGGAATAAAGAAATCTATACTCTGAGCAGTATAGATTTAAAGTAGACTCTATTTTTCATAACTTCTGTGACTATAACATTATGTAATTTAGAACTTAACTTTGAATCCTATTAATGGATGCAAACAAATATTCTGAACGCCAGAAAAACAAATATTTACAAAAATCCTTGGGAACACTGAGCTCTTCAGATTCCTTAGTATATTGAGTAGCAAATCTCACAGACTTCTCTCAATCTTCAGTCTTTGTAATTTATGTGGCAGAATGACTGCAAGCTTCTGTGACATTTTTGCTTACATTTTAGCATCCGTTGCAGAGAATGAAAAGGGTATAATTCCACGGGCTATTCAGGAATTATTTCAGCATATTTCTGAAAACTGTAACATTGACTTCCATGTGAAAGTATCTTATATAGAGGTTTACAAGGAAGAACTTCGAGATTTATTGGAGTTGGAGACCTCTGTGAAAGAATTACACATCCGAGAAGATGAAAAGGGAAATACAGGTAGGATTTCAGCTCTAAAATTTGGTGTGTTTGGTTTCAGTTGCGTGCCCAAGTTATTCTGGGTTTCTCTTGAAAGAGCTTATTCATTACTAATACTAGAAAGAAGTTACGTTTTCAGAATACAAACTCGGCTGATTTGAAGCAGTTTT